GAGTTTTTAGTCGCCATAATCACTTTCACGCATCTTTTTACACATATTTTTATCTACTTTCGGCCAACTGTGCCTGAGGACGTTGTCGCAAAACGCATACTGCAAATACCTTTCATTTTTCCAAATGATGTGACGAAATAAGCAAAAAGCTTACGCGTGTCTATTGTCGTCGTTATGACTTTTACCAATACATCGTTTGTTCATCCCATGCGAACTTTGTTAATATGATTGGTAATGCAAGTACAATTGCCTTTTGTGGGACGGACAGCAGCATCTTTATTTGTTTGCATTTCATGTGCATACATATATAAGAGATGCGTACATACATACATACGTAAGAACTTTTCCACGCTTATAATCGCATGTACACTTATCTACGCATTGAAGCTGAGTGCGTCATCATGACATCAGCATGCTTTCGCACAAGCAATGAAAAAGGTTTCAAAAGCTATAAAGGTTCAGGCAGGCAGAAGTGCAAATCCTTGCCTTTATTCGAAATCTTTTCACCTTACAACAACCTGCTGCAACTGGCAATATCTATCGCTCGCTGTATAGCAGAAGAAATAAACAGTCACAGCAACAACAACTGCAGCAGCAGCAGCAGCAGCAGCAGCATCAGTGGCAACATGGCAACATCTTTCACATTTCGTAAAAGCTGCGAAGCTAAACTTTGTTGGGCACCCGCTCACACTCCCGTTGGAATACAATTGGTTTTAAAACAAAAACATTAGCAATAACAGCAACAAGCACAACAACACTAGTAGCAACTTAGCAAGCAAAGCACTTCGCTGCCTCTACTCTCCGACTTGTAAATGCAAAGCTGCAGTCATTTGTCCATCCATACATGCACCCTTTCAAAGTAGTGTTCCAGCTAACTTTCCTACTACCACCCGCCCCTCTTCCTCTTCCTCTTCCTCTTCCTCTTCCTCTTCCTCTTCCTCTTCCTCTTCCTCTTCCTCTTCCTCTTCCTCTTCCTCTTCCTCTTCCTCTTCCTCTTCCTCTTCCTCTTCCTCTTCCTCTTCCTCTTCCTCTTCCTCTTCCTCTTCCTCTTCCTCTTCCTCTTCCTCTTCCTCTTCCTCTTCCTCTTCTTCTTCTTCTTCTTTAACATTTTTCGCTAACTGCAGCGCGCCTCAACAGTGCGCACACTTTATATGGCGCGCTTTAACTAATTAATTCCCATTAAACGCTGGTTGGTTGTTCGCAGCAACAACAACAACAACAACAACAACAAAAGGCATGCGAGTAGCAAGAACGACAACAATGTCAATAAGAACGCTAGTTGCATAAAAGCAAAAAACAAACTATCAATAAAATACTCACAGTTGTACATATGTATGTACACTAGGGTGGTCCAAAAACGAATGTGAATAAGATAAGATTGTTCTATACCGGAAAAATATATCCCTTTACTCTAAATATTTTTTGATTTCAAAATAAAAAAATAGAGTTATATTTTTGCGATATAGAACAATCCTAGGGGGTGAGAGCATTAAAATTCCCACTTTATTTATTTTACGCCACCCCAATGTACATGTATTGCTATTGGGCATTGCTGCTGCCAACTAATGGCGTGGCAGCAACATTGTTAGTTTTTTCTCGTTGCCTTTTGTCTTCTGTTGTTATTATTGCCATTGTTTTTTACAACGCTTTTATTATTTTCCTTTTCTGCCAGCTTGTCATTACGAATGGCTGTTCGGTTTAGTAGTCTGTTGTTATTGGCTTATTGTAACGATGTTCTTGCGCATTATATGTTCTTTTTGTTGTTGTTGCTTCCATTTGTTTTCTGCTTTTGCTTTGCTTGCGAAGAGCTTTTATTTTATTTGCTAATTTTCGCCCGATTTTCTCTTTGGCTTCTTTATTTCTTCTGCCTTTCGATTATTTATACCGCAGTACATAGTTGTTGCTGTCTGCGTCTGTGTTGTTGTTTTGGTTTCTGTTTATGCGTATGTTGCAGTGGCATACCACAAATATTTTCAAACACATTTCCATTGAATTGTATTGCATTGCAAGGAGCTACGACGACGCCACCACAATTGCCTTCTGTCTGCATTGAGATAACTGCAACCAGCACAAGTGCATCAAGTATGTAAGCTGTACAGTGTTTGCCAATAAAATGCAGTAAATTCCTTTGAGTTATAAAATTTTTTTTTTAATTCAAAAAATATTCAATGTCTCCTTAGTAATATCCCCAGTTTGTTTTATGTTGCATATTTTTAATTACAAATTTTCTTCTTTTAGAGGTTTATGACTGTAAAAATATAACTTAGTAATTTCTATAAAACCACTTGATTTAGCAGAAGTACTCTCTTTCGATAGCTTTTCAAAATCATCATCATATTCTTGTTAAGATCCTTCGCGTTTAATGAGTTAACCTCTCGAAAGCTGGGAAGACTAGCAGAAGGTTTTGGGATGATTCTCTTCAAGCAACTGCAGCAGCTAAAGTAAAAAACTGATTTTTAGCCCGCATGAGGTCAGATCTATTATTGGCCTCGCAGAGCATCTACAAGAGACCTGTGGGTTTGCATGCAAAAAAAGCTTCTGTGATCATCCCTGATTCATCCTGTGTAAAAGCATATTATTATTTCTCCCAGCATTCACCAAAGCGCTCATCTATCCAGGAGTGAACCGCAACTCGGCGGTCATTCAGTTTCCGGCGATGTCAATTTGGCTTGGTATCCAAACATATACCGCAAATATTTTGAGGAAATCGAAAGCCATTATTTGCCTCGATTTCATCTAAGCCACGTTTGCCTAGACCTCCCGCATTTCGTGCTATAAATACATATAAAAACATCTTTTCCGATTGCTTGGATTAGGAGTTTATTTGCAACCACCATTGGAACTCAAAACCCAGCCTGGCAGGAAGCGCAAACAATGTGAGCAGCTGAGCGTAGGGCTTTGCTAAAAAACTACCCATTGAACTTCGAACCATCTGTGGAAATTGCGTTACTACCAAAAGGAATGCAGTAGCTTTACCTCAACTCCTATCTGCTTGGTAGGTCCTTAGAGAAATTTCTATACGAAACTGAATTTCAACCAAATTGCAGCTTAAGTTGCAGCAGTTTTACCTATCATATCAACAGGTATGGTGTTAGGTGGCAGAATGGAAGTGGTCCGCCACTAATACCAATAATTTTTTATCAGGCCTCTTCTTTGCATAATTTTGGTAGCACCAATAATCAGGGCTATCACGGAATCCATCGAAGAAGATCTACGAATTCGAATGCCTACTACGAATATGAAAGAATTGCTATCACTGAATCCGAATGAACTCGAAAATATCGTTGCTAGCTTCGAATGCAAAAACAAACAATAGACATTTATGTTTGCCATTTTGCTCGCGCTGCCCCAGCAGTCTTGATGACCGAGTGAGCAAAGCACTAGACTGCCAATTGAGAGATCCGTGTTCCGAGTCCGAGACGTCGGACAGCGGAGATTATTTTTCTTTTTATTTAATTAATTTTTGTTTCTGTTTTTAATTTTTACTTTAGATTAAATTTTTTGAAAGAGAATGAATTTTTTATGATATTAAAGTAATTAGGTATATTTTCTAATAAATTAATAAATGTTAAACTATTATTCCTCGCCTTATAAAAAATATTCATTCTGTGATAGCCCGGAATATATGTATATAGTTCTTGCCACTATAGCACATAAATCCTAGCCAACAAATAGTTTTTCTCTTTCATAATTTTTATATAAATATTTCTGCATATTCTGCTTTTTATTTTTCCTTACTAATAGATCTCGCCTAATTTTATAACCATTACTGTAAGCGTGTTACTTTGTAGCACTCATTATTTATTATTTAAATTTTTTTCTCTCAAACGAAATGCATCAAGATTTTTATTTTCCATTACCGTTTGCTACAAGCTATTCTCGTTGTTGTGATTTATTCGCTAACTCGCTATCTACATATGTACATACATACAGATGTACTTATACATATGTATGCGCATACTTATGTACACTAGGCGACAAATTGAAGGTGTCCACTTTGTTCTAATATAATATTCACAATTATTTTCATAAAACTTTTTTGGCAGTAACTACTTATGAAATAATAGTTAATTCTAGAATATAAACCATATAAACCAAAGTTTCACACTTTATATAAAGTTCATAAAAATTTAAAAAAATATCATCAAAATTTTGAACTTTTTGTTCAGGATTTCTAGAAAATTTCGATTATGCAGTTTTGTAGCCCATTCTATTTTAGTCTAATGATTTTTGAGATTGTTTTCTTTGGTGACGGACTTTTTTTCATATAGGAATGCATTTCTTATGAAATAAAATGCATGAGACCGTTAGCAAAGAACTTTCAAAAAAAAAAAACAACGCCACTTTCTGTAAATGTAAAAACGGAAAAACAGTCTCCAAAAAAATAAAATAAAAAAATTCTCAAAAATTAACGCAAGTTTTTTGCCGGTTGAATTGCACTTCGTTAAACTGAAATTGAATGGGCTAAAAACTCGGGAATTTTTTAGAAATTCTTAATAAAAAGTTGAAAATTGTATTGAAAAATTTTTGAGTTTTTGTGAAATTTATATAAAGTGTGAAACTTTGATGTATATGGTTTGTTTTATATATATTTTCATAAATAATTAATGCAAAAAAATGTTCATGAAAATAATTGTGAATATTTTATTAGAAAAAGATGTACACTTTCATTCGTTGCCTAGTGTATATCTATGCGCCCAGCAATGCTGAACAATTAACCAGGAATTCGCTTTCCCATCGCAACACAATACACGATTTATGCGATATATATGCGATAAAAGGAATCAATTCGGTGTTTTTGCTGTTTTTTCTGCACTTCATTTTCTTCTACAGATTACTTCCACATACGTTAAGACTTCTACTACTATGTTTATTTCTTTGGCTATTCTTGCTCACATTTTTCCACAGCATCAATTGTTTTTCTATTCACTTGTGCATTCTTTTCCTTCTTTTAATTGCATTTGAATCAATAATTCTGATTTAATTTTCTCTCTTTACAGATCAACATCGCCGTTCAATGCCTGAGTACGGACTTTAGCAGTCAAAAGGGAGTTAAGGTATGTTGATAACTTAACGAAAGTTATTTATTTAAGTATTTGTGTAGAGTATAAGAAGTTGCCTTAGGTTAACACATATTGGAAAGTGTTTGACTGACTGATTGGCTGGTGTAAATAATAAAATTATCTGGGAGGCAGAAATCGAAAGATGGTCTGGCTGTACCTAATTTCGAGCCTTGCTCCATCCATGTAAACATGTCTTTCGCTTCTCTTCCAGTTTGAATTGGACCTCCGTTCTTCCCTTGTGGGAAGTCTGGTACGAAATAAAGAAATCTACGAAAATTTCAAAATTTTAAACAAATTTTTTATTGTCGCTAGGAGGTTTAAAAAAAATGTTTTTGTCTTTGTATGGGCCAAATTCCAATGAATTTTGTTTGCTGGGTTGGAGCTGCTTCGGCCGATGGAGTAAAAGGCGAAATGCTTATATTTTTCCCTTGTCCCTCCTACGCGTTTCGACACTCTCGTGTCATC